AGTTGTGAGAGTGTGGGCGACTGCTCTTGGTCCTGCCCAGCGTGCCAAGACTCCAATAAACCGGATCTGGGGTCTCCTGTTGTTGCATGATTTCAGGACCTCGAACGAGCAGGTCGCGCTAGACTCGGCACACACAGCAATCGAGAGGGCACCGTAGCACTGAAGGTTTGAACGCCCCGGGGGTCCGCATCCTTGGGGCGGTGGAGATCAGTCCGGCACCGAGCAGAAAACGGGCGATGGAAACGCGTGAAGATCGAAGGAGAGAAAAACACCCGGCAGGGGACGGGGAGACAGAGAGATGAAGATGACTTGGCGGAGAAAAGCTCCGGCTGCGGCGTCATTGAGGAGCCCCAATGGCAAGATTAGATTTTAGTTTAATCCATTGAATGCTTTGAGGAATTGACTGGAGGTAAGAAGTAGTATGCGTACGAAGGATGATCAATTGAATGTATGCACCCCATGTCTCTTCCCCTAATACTCCGTACATCAATCTATACAATAAATACCTTTCTTTGTACATGGATGTTAGTTGGGGGAGCATCGAAACAGAAGATCCAAACGCATTCGACACACACGAGGCACTCGGCTTCGAGGCTACGCAGAAAAAGCAATGTGAAATATAAGGAGAGCCGACAGGGGATCGTTCTCCAAAGGACGAAGGAAGACTGGGGGATCTCTCACTTGCACGGAGTAGCGTATCAATGTGATGAGGATCGAGGATCAATATCAAATATCAAATGTAGCGTCAAGCATCGCGGAAGACACCCTGCCTGCTCCTCATCCGCTTGAAAGCGCCAGTGCAGTCCGCGAAGATGGCGGTGGCGTTGTCTGAGCTCAATCAGGTACGAGTACTCGCTGCTACGACAAGCCAATAGGCAACAACGGTGAGACCCCGAGGACAGGTTTGAAACTTGACAAGTATTTAACGGTACTCATACACATTTCCAGCCGGGCTTCCCAGTTTGAAGAGAAGACGGAAATGTGCCAGGTGTTCGCAGGAGCCAACTCCGCGGAGTATCTCTGTCCCGAGTCAAACGTCACAGAGCAGGTCGGCACTGGTCTGGTGAGACAGTCTTACGGGTTGCGGAATATCACAGTTTGCTCAGAGTGAAGTTGGAGGTCCAGACCTACTTCTACTGCTTGTACCGAGGAGGACAAGTTAAGTTTTTTAACTTTGAGCTGCGTTACTTGAAACGCCGGTAGCCGTTGAAAGGGTCCTCCCGGACGCTAATTTTGACCGCTGTTCATTCCCTCCTTCGTATGCTCCGCTTCATCATCGCCTCTTCCTCCTCCAACCGTCGAGCCCAGGCAGAGCAGAGGTATGAGTGGGAAAAAAAGGGGTAAAGAGGGATCATCCTCTTCACGAGCCACACCACGCCAACGATATGCAGACCATTAGACTCTGCATATACACGATTCACAACATTGGACTACTACTCTGCTAGTATCTGCAGAAAGGGTCGCTCATCCACTCGTTGAGCTCTCAGCCCAAACCCGCCCTACCATAGTGTTCGGGCAACAATGATCCACCAGGCTAGCGAGTTCTTGGCCTGGCGGCACAGAGTGGATCCTTTGGCCTGTATGGCTGTAGTGTTTTACGAAGTAAGATGAAAGTGTGCTATTCTTGTCGTGTGCAGAGTAGTGTACATCCTCTACGTCGTTGGACGCGGGATTTGAGGACGTCTTCAGAGATCTCGGTAGGTGAGAAAACGTCCGAACCCAACAACCTTGAACCATCGACGTGCAGCACTCCTAGCCATTATTAGCAGGAGTGTGGCTGTCTCGTGAAGATGCCATTACACCTGTAAAGTACCTCCTGGGTAATCCCGGATCGACAGCAATGTGGAGAAGAAGAAGAAAGGGTCCTGACAAGTCGATCACAAGAGAGATCGCAGGGACATACAGCTAGATCAATTGCTGCTTTGGCTGATATGCAGAATGGTCTGTGGCGCTCATTAATGTTAAACAAGCTAGCGAGCTGCACCTGAGCTTTGGTGGTATTAGGTTTTGGGAGATCTTCCTTCCTGCGAGCGGGCCCCTAAGGAAGGGCGAGAGAAGAATTGACACGTCGTAAAGAATAAATTGCCCTGCTTGCTGCTTGCACTGAGGTATGGCGGACTGGTCCACGACATCTTGCTCGAGGTCTGTACTACTCATAATAACATTTGATGCGAAGCATGTGCGAAGCACAAAGAAGAGGCGGGGAAAGCTCACATCCAGATGCAACAGAGATGCAACAGAGATGCAACAGAGCTGCAACTGGGAGGCATGGCACAAACAAGATTACAAATGAGAGAGCTTCCATCGTCGAACAGGCATGACTAGAACCCTTCCAATGCTACCACATGCTGCAAGGACAGCGAGCTTGAGCTTTCTGGGGCTTTTCCCCCCCTCGCTAACGATGCACACCTGTGCCCCCATCTAAGCATTCAACAACCTCAGTCCCCAAGACCCCTTTCCTCTCTCTTCTTCGTGCATAATATACGGACAGGGAGGGCGCAGTTGCAGCCTGAACGTCTTGATACTGTCCTTGACGGCTGGGGAAGGACTCATTGGTGGTGGTGGTGGTGGTGGTGGTGGTGGCGACCCAGCCAACGCAACGCAATTGATCATACCCCGGATTGATGAGATGCAGCGGTGCCCCAGCCGTACTTCGTACGTGAGAATGAGTGGTTGAGCTGGGAGATTATTGTTATAGACTGCCAAGTACTTTGCTTTTCGCGATGCAAGGCGTTTTGGACGCGCCGTCATTCGTCAGAAAGAGACAAGAGACCAGGATGGAGCAGGGAACGAAGGAATACAAGATACTTGATGCTTGAAGGGCAGTGCAGGGTGTGAATGGGGGGGAGTAACTCGTACGATCTCCCACCTAAGAAATCAACCTATTCCATAAAGTATCTAGTACCGAGAGTGGTCAGTTACGAGATCCAATTATTGTCACGAGCAAGCGAGAGGAACGGCAGAAACGCAGAAACGAAGAAAGGAGGGGGGATCATGCTGGCCAGGATTCCCCAGTTCCAGAGGGGGGAACGAGTTGAAGGCTGCAACTTAATCCGTTCTGGAGACCGGGACTGACCATCCTTTTAACACACCACTTGAGACCCGCTCTCAGGCAATCCATCGGACCTTGGACAGACGAGAGATGATCAAGTCCAAAAGTACGCTAACTTGGTCGTCATCTGCCGCTGCCGGCTCCTGTTGGCTTGTTCCTCCAGTCGATCTCGGCGCCTGCTAGTTTAGATTATTTTCCGCGAAATCGTGGACACCACAATCCTCTTTCTTGGCCTCGCAAGCTGCAAACGACACTAATTCATTAGTACTTGTAACTATTAATACTCCAAGGTCACGTTTCCGTACGATGTTTCACGATGATGTCTCCACGAATCGGGGTCGCAATCAAACGGAACTGATCATCCACAGTTATTAGTGTAGTGCAGGATCTGAGATAAACTAGCAACTAACAGAGAGTCTCGCAATGACAGAAGAAGGACGCCGTTGTCGGCGCTCCATCAATCTTCTCTTTTCCAGGTCGTGCGCCAACATTGAAGAGGGTGTGTCGTCACCGCGGTCCCGCCCCTTCGCTTTGAGCTGCTGCGCATCAAATCTTAATTTCAGCAAGTGAATTGATGCGCAGGTGCGGTTGCTCAGGCTGCTTTCGCCTTAACCTTGCACAGTTCCGGTGACTGTCTGTCGTAACCCCCCCCCCTCTCTCTCTCTCTCCTTCTTTTTTTTTTTTCTCTCACTTCCCTCCAGTCGCGATGCAGCTAATGGTAATCGTCTTGCACCGCACCGGCCAAGTTGGGATCCTGGCTCCGTCCATCCCAATAACACTTAAACACACTTTCGAGCAATGGCGTTAACAGGCGTCTTGAAAGTTGATAGTTGACGAGGAGGGGCGGCGCAGGGACCGTATTCGCGTCCTCTTTTGTCCACCACCCTTCGCTTCATCGCGGTGCATCGCGAGACACTATGGAAATATAGTGAGGGCTACGTTGCCTGTCCCCGGGTTGACGGCTGCGCGTCCTCTCGCCTCCAACACGCCTTTTTTTTTTTTTTTTTCCCTCATCTAGATCCCACACACCTAGATCCTAGAGAGGCGTACTTCGTAATGTGTGACGAAAGCCATCATCTACAATTCCGCCCCATCGTCTCGATCTCGAAGAGCTGTAACAAATCCCTCGCTCTTCGCGCCCTCGCTTGCCATTTCCCCCAAGAAGCTTCCCCATCCGGTTAGACATGGGGAGGGGAAGCTGGGAAAAAAAGAGAGCGAGAAAGCTGGCTCTCGCTAAGGTGGGGGTCAGATTCAGGCTTATTCTGCATCTGCTTCCCATTTCATATTAGTCTGGGGACAGGGATGTCGTTGTGTGGTGGTGGTGGCAGCAAGCCACAAGACCAGAAACAGAAGTTGATCACTTTCATGGTTTCTCTCTGGGAAGCATTGCAGGGGGCAAACCATCACATTCGGAGGGTCCCGGTCGAGTCAATCTGGGGTTTTTGACATGGATCTGGTCCCCGATGAAGCCCGATATGGTCCCCGAAGAAGCTGAGATTCTGAAATCTGACCACAGCCGTGCGGTGCGCCTGCCCCCAACTTGGCCTGCACAACGAAGGAAACTGACGAAGGACGAAGTACAATTGTAAACTGCGAAGTGCATCGTGCTTGCACAAAGTCACTTCAATGTTCGTATTTGGCAAAGTTGCCCTGTGCGCTGAGCTTACGTGAGATGGCAGACGCTGGCAGCTGTCAATCCCGGACCAATGACGTCTTCGACAATTGTTCTGGAAGCCCCAAATTGACTTCCAACTCTTTTTTTTGGCTTGACACTTGTCAGACGCGCCTGGCCACCCGCGAAGTCGCGTTCGGCAGTCGCAGCCTAGTCGGCGAGGAGCGTACACGACAGATCTTCAATCCCCGGTTATGACGCAGTGAACATCAAGCCTCAAGAGTTGTTGTTCTATATCTCTTTATACTGCCTCGAATCCGAGAAGCCACCCCCATTATGGACGTAGATATATCGGGCGGCGTACCAGCTGCCTTCGACCCCTCCAAGCCTTTGAAGGGCATCGTCGTGTGCTGCACGAGCATCCCACCAAACGAGACTGTATGCCCCTCCAACTGCCCCTCCATGTAGAAGCTCGAAGTAGCTATAGCTCTAGCTAGCTTGTTCCCCTCAAGCTCTTTCCAGCCACCTCTGCTAACAAACCGCACTCCTCTCTCCCGGCAAACAGAAAGATATTGAGCAAAAAACCACGAACCTCGGCGGCATCTTCACCGGCGACCTCACCGTCGAAGTAACCCACCTCCTCGTTGGTGACTATGACACTGCAAAGTACCGCCATGCCGCCAAGTCGCTGGCCCACGTCAAGGCCATGGATGCCGGCTGGATAGAAGCTCTCACGGATCTATGGCGCGAGGACGCGCCCATCGATTTCGCCGCCCTCGAGAAGGAGTGGCGGCTCCTGCCGCTGGAGACCGGCGGGGCCGAAGCTGCTAGCTTCGATGAGGAGGAGCCGCCGAGGAGAAAGAGGTTGATGGTTTGTCTCACTGGGTTTTTGAACCGTGAGTGTTCGGTCCAGAAAAGTCCCTTCCACCTGTCCTGTGTAGTAGATCTAACATACGGTTTTTCTTCTTTCTTTCCAGTCGAGGAACGGACAGCTCTCCAAGAGAAAATCACATCCAACGGCGCCCAATACTCCGGCGAGCTCAACAGAAAATGCACTCACCTCATCGCAGCCAAACCGGAAGGCCAAAAGTACCTCGCCGCGCGCAAATGGGGCCTCAAGGTCGTCTCGCTCGAGTGGCTCAACCAGACCATCGAGCGCGGCATGATCCTCGACGAGAAGTACTACGACCCGTTACTCCCACCCGAGGAGCGGGGGAAGGGCGCGCGCGACGATCCGGAGGTGGCGTTGGGGAAGAGGCAGAGGCTTGTGAATTCGTTTGTCGAGCCGGAGGGTCCGAGGCGCAAGTTGAGGAAGACGGCGAGTATGAAGCTTAGTTCGCAGAGGGAGACGGTGTGGGGGGATATCTTGGGCGGGAATAGTAGCGGCGGTGCGAAGGATGTCGCCATTGAGCAAGCGTCGGCGCAGGAACAAGCTAACGCCCGTGCCGACGACGTAGCTTCGGCCGCAGCGGCGCCCGCCCCTCTTCTTCCCCGACTGAAACCGGACGCCGGCATCTTCTCGACCTCGTTCTTCTTCATCCATGGCTTTGACCAGCGCAAGTTCGACATATTAAACCAGACCATCACGGCGCTCGGAGGCCGCGTCTGCCGTACCCTCGACGAAGTCTGCCTCGCCCGCGCCCCCGAACACCCCTGGCACCGCTTCCTCGTCATCCCCCAAGACTCGCCCTCCATCCCGCCCGAACTCTCCCCCACATCCCTCCCTTCCAATCTCCACTCCGACGAAACCACTACCACCCCTCAAATCGTAACGGAATTCTTCCTCGAGCGCTGCATCCACTCCAAAACCCTCCTCAATCCCCAATCCCACGTCCTCGGCCGCCCCTTTTCCAAATTCCCCATCCCGGGCCTCCAGGACCTCACGGTGTGCAGCGCGGGATTCTCGGGCATAGATTTGCACCACCTCGATAGGGCCGTGCAGCAGCTTGGCGCGCGGTTCGATGAGACCTTTAGGAGGCGGAGCTCGCTGCTGATATGTAAGGATCTGAAGCTCGTGAGGAAGGAGAAGTTGAGGCTTGCGCTCGAACATGGGATCCCTGTCGTTGGGGAGAAGTGGTTGTGGGAGTGCATAGCTAGAGGCGAGAAGGTACCTTTGGGAGCGTACATGTTTCCCGAGCTAGGACAGAGAGATCCCGAGAAGGAGAAGAAGGCGGAGGAGAAGAAGCAGCCGATGCAGAGGACAAAATCGGAACCCCCAGCTAAAGTGCTGACAATCGGCGGTTTCGCCGTCGATTTTGAGGAGGAGGATGGGGATGCGCCCTCCGAGGCGAAGAAGAGCTTTGCGATGACGGCGTCCGCGAGGAATTTCCATACGGCGCGGACACACATTTTCGATGATCGGGATGACTTTACGATGGGCGATGCCCCAATGGCAACGACGACGAGACCGCTGAAAGAAGTAGCCGTGAACACCGTCTCGTCATCAGAATCCGCCTCCTCAAACCCCGGCCCTGTTCGAGAAGAAGATATACCCCCCACAAAAAAACCACGCTCCCAAGGAGATAAACCCCAACAGAAACTACAAAAAGAAGAAGAAGAAGAAGAATCCCGCCGCCAGCGCGAACGCGAACGTTCCAAGCGCCAAGCACGAGAACTCCTCGCCTTCTCGTCAAAACTAACCTCCCTCATCGACCCCTCCACCTCCGCGCACCCCACCACCGCCACGACCGCCGACGCAACAGAAACGACGGCTGGCAGCAAAGACCGGCGCAAACGCGGTATCCTAGGCCGCGCGGCGAGCGCGTCTTCCACCACCTCAGGTCTACTAAGACAAATGGTCTCCGAGGAATCGGCGCCCGGATCCTCGGATAGCAAGGCGAGGAGCGTATCCGTCGTCGACGGAGAGGACGAAGGTGAGGGGAATGGGGAGGGACATTCGACGCTTACGCAGGTCGGGTACGATGACCCTGGCGCTGCGGAGGCGAGGGCGCAGATTTTGGGGAGGATGAAGGGAGAGAAGCAGGAGACTTTAGGGAGGGGGCGGAGAGCGCGGTCGGGTTGATGAGGCAGCAGTCTTTGGTGGTTTTAATAGTTTAGGGTGTCTTTCTTTTTTTTCGAAATGTATAGCAGGCTGGGATACATCGATAGATATGGATGCAACAGCACAGGATAGATAGTATCATGATGATGTATGTCCCTTTGCAACATGGCGCATTCGTTTTTGAAGGTTACGTATTTTGATTGAAATATATTATCATGCGGTTCTTTAAGGCCCCTTCATACAATTCGGCGAGGAGGACTGGGACACATCTGAAGAGCAGCTCGACGGAGAGAGCGGTAGCGAGTACATCGCTTCTTCGGAAACAAAAAGTTCACGTCTATCTCAAAGATTAATTAGAGTAACCAAAACTTCATCAGGAGAGCCTCAACTGGGAAGAAAACAAAACACACTCGTCTCTCTCTCTCTCTCTCCGTATATTTTGAGGGTATCTGCCTATATATAATCGTGACATGACATGACTTCGTGCGACATTATTCTGATCCATTTTGACCATCCATCACATCTTCCCATCTTCTCGTCTCCTCATCCAGGGCCATCTAAGACAGTGGTACAAATGCAGATGTTCCCAGCCAAACGAAATAGGGAAAAAGAGCCACAATACACACCATCTTCCTAATAATCGTATGTAGAGAATAAAGCAAAACACAAAAGGAAATGCCAATGTATGAGAAACGAAAAGATATGAAAAGAATGAAGCTCCATCACAGCGCAGCAGCTGCCGCCTCGGCAAGCACGGTTAGCAAGCTAGCAGCTGCACCACCCAGGCCAGCAGCATACAGAGTATCGCTGCCTCTTGGCTTCCGCTTAGTTTTATCGTCTCTATCCTTCTCCCGATGGTTTCGCCGCCTATGGGAGTCCCGGTCCCGGTCCCGATCTCTGTCCCTCTCCCGATCGCGATCGCGATCTCTCTCTCGATCACGGTCGTGGTCGTGGTCGCGGTGGTGCTCCCGGCCGTGCTCGTCCCTCCGCCTCCTCCTCCTGCGCCTCTCGCGATCCTCCCTGTCTGGCTCTCGGTCTCGGTCCCGGTCCCGATCCCTATCCCTGTCCCTGTCCCTATCCCTATCGCGGTCTCGATCCCTATCCTTCGGACTCCGCTCCGAGTCGTCAGCGGGCGTCTCGTAAGGGTTCGGTCCGAAGTGCACTTTGTTCACGTTCTTATTCTTCAGGATAGGCTTCGGCTTTACGGTGCTGGACGGAGACGTCTTTTCCTCATGCTCGCTCGGTGGATTCACGATGAAAGGGTACGGGTACGATTTTGTTCCCTTGTCGTCGTCTTGCGACTCCCCGCTCTTGTGGTCGGGGCGCGCATCCCTCGTCTCCTCCGAAGTCTCGCTCTCGCTCCAGTTGTCGTTGTCGTCGTCGTCGTCGCTCTCTGTCCCGCTATCACTGACCGGGTACGGCGTCGCGGAGTTCTGCCTCCTCAGGTGTCCAGAAGCAGGGTAACTCCTCGCAGCTTCATGGCGGCGCCGAGCCTCTCTTACCTCAGCGCTCTGTCTCGCAAACTCTTGAATCTGCTGGGGCGACAGGACACCGAGGACAGCTACAAAGTCCGGGCGGGCCTCGAAGCGCATGCCAGCGCGATCCAGCACGACTGTGCTGATGAGGTCACGGTTAAGCTTAGTCCAGATAGCGTCGGAGGAAATTTCGTTGCCGTTCTGGTCGGGCTTGAGGCGAGGGGCGCGGCGTGGGGGGCTGGAGCCATAGGGAGGTGGTGGACTACTACCAGCTTCGCCATACAGCGGAGGGACGAAGCGGGGTGAGGCACTGAGGGGTGTATAACCCTCCGCGGCACTGAAGCCTCCTGCTGACAGATATCGATCGTTGGGTGAGCCCGATGGCGGTGACGAGCTGTAGTTCTGGTTCTGCATAGCTTGCATGATGGCGGGAGAGACATACATGCCGCTAAATTGGGTAGGCAGATCGTTAAGTTGGTTCGGCCGGTCCATGCCAAGTAGATCTTGAGTGGAAATGAGGGTGCTGAAAGATTCGGCATCTGGAGGACCCTTTTCGTTGTCATCATGGCGGTTCGCGAAGGCCAAAGTCTCGTTGGAGTGGCGGGGGTGATCTCCAGAAACCTTGACCGAAGGGCTAAACTTTTCGCTTCCTACGGGGGTATACAGGTCCCTGGGACTCCTGTCTTTGGGCTGGTGGTAAGATGTCGGCGACGTGGTCAGATGGGGGAGTTCGTGATGCCGCGGTCTTTCACGTTCGAGCAGACCACGGACAGAGGCTGGCTGGCCATTGTCCGAGGTGCCGGAAGACTCGAGCTCTCTGATATAGGCCCTCAGAACTTCCTACAAAAAAAGCATGAGCTTCACGGTACACAGCACTGAAAAGGCAAATCTATACACAACACAGCAGGCGGTAAGGGTGAGCAACGACGTGGACGAACCTTGTGTTTTCTCAGAACCTCTCGCGAGAAACCTTCGTGCTCCAGCTCATCCCTGAAGCGTTCCCATAGAGCGTTCTCGTCATCGACAAAGCCCGAATCTTTCCTTGCAAAAATCTTCCTTGCGATGGCGTCAACCTTGTCTTTTATCACGTCCAGGTTCCTGTCGTCTGAGTTGATCGTTGTCTTGACGGGGCTCTGCAGCTGGACGGTGTCCAAGAACAAGTCGACCTCTAGCTTCTGCTCGTCGAGCTTTTTGCGGATGAGCGATAATAGGTCATGTTGCTCATTTCCGGAGATGGCGCCGCTTTCGTACTTGGCAAGGACGGTTTCGAGCTGGCTTAGGGTAAATTCGCAGTCCTCGATGGCGGGGGTGAGCTGGCGGTAGTAGACGGGGCCTCGGGAGGAGTTGAGGACGGAATCAGGGTCGCCGGCCTCGATCTTGAGGTGTTTTAGGGCGGTGGACAAACCGGAGATGGCAGGCACGACATGGTCGAAATCGGACCCTGCCTGCTTGGCCCGGTAATAGAGCGCCAGCGCCGAGGTGCTGACAGCGTCAATGTTGGAGAGGATCGAAGTGGGGCCGGTCATCAGTGATGTATGTGATGTGGGTGTGGATTGTTGCAGGTTTGGATTCATCATAAATAATTGGAGAATATTTGCGAATAAGAAGGATCAATCGCTCTCGAGACCGGGGGCGGGGAGGATTTTGGTGACTATATCCTAGTTCGATCGTCGCGAAATGGCGACGACGAGGCTCGCGGAGATGGTGGGGATTTGCCGCTTGCTTCGGGTAGGGCGAACGGCTCACAACAAATAGCGTAACGTGATCGTGATCGTAATGGGTTCTCTAGGCGACTGAACGAATATGAGTGGCACGAGGCTCCCGGATGGCGAAGTGCTTGGCGTGCACATGCAAAACACCCCCGTCTCTCTTTGCCTCAGTCCGGGGAGAGTGTAAGTCGAAGACGAAACTGTTGGGATTTCAGCTTGTGGCTGTCTACGGTGGGCAGGTTGAGAATATGATACAAGTGTTAGCGATGGGAGTGATGGAGTGATTGAGTCGGAACAGTAAGGTGAGAAATTGGGCAGAGGCAGAGAAAGACGGGTGAGGGCTTGGCAAGAAAAGGAGGATTTCCGAGACAGCAGCTGAGCCATGTCCGGATGGAGGATGAGTCCTCAATAAACAGGATCCAGAAGAGGTGCAGTGCCCAGTTCCAGAGTCAAACGGTCACTCACAGTGACTGGAATGACTGGAGTGACTGCGGCTGCGACTACGAAGTACAAAGTATCTATCACGGCTCAACTCGCTCTTTCCAAGAGCCAAAGAGGAGCGAGGTACGAAGGTAGAGGCAAGTACCCGGTTGTCGAGAGATACAAAGAGGGAAGGAGGAGAGAGTGACGGAGAGAGCGACGGAGGGTCAAGTGGGACTTGACATTGGAGTTGAGGCGGGGCCATGATGTCAGCCTACCAAACAAGCAGTCACCACTGCTTCGTGCATAATATTTGATGCAGAGACACGGATCGAATCAACGGATGCACCTTCTCAACGCAGAATAAGAGACCCTTGCGCGGACCACGGCGGGCGCCAGTGGGCAACCGCAGCCATTGCAGGGCTAATATCACGAGCTACTACTGTTTCCGGGCTAGGCTTGTACTCCGTACGAGGCATCTGGCAGGATAGCTCAGTCTGAGGTCTTCAGAGAACAGCATCGGGTTCTGCGTGTTAATATCGCAGAATATCAATCGACAATTGATACCAAGCTGCAGACGCCGTCAGGGTCCCGAATCCTGATGGAGATGCCAAGATACCATGGTTATGGTCACGAGCAGGTTCCGCGGCGATTTGTGGTACTCTGGTGTACCAGCCAGGCAGTCAGGCTCGTCACAGCTGGCTGATCAATCACTCGTGCTCAGTGACGCATATACTGTGAAGTCGTGGTGGCAATCCCGCCGTACGGAGTGCTGCCAGGATTCCCCCGGAACGGGTCCAGAGAAACAAGTCGTGCCCTATCTCGTACTGGTCAACTGGTTCGGAGTTCAGGGCGCTCCCGAGCGGTGGCGCAGGGATTCCCCTCACTTTGACAATTGGTCCTGGCGCGAGCTAAGAGAGCCTCGTTGCTTATTGCCGATAATCCAGTGGATGCATCGATCACCATTCTTCATTCTGCCCTTCCACTACGAACAGCAACGAGTTCACAAGATCTCTTGATCGAGAAAAGCTCCAGACAGTATCCGGCGCTCGGGGCTGTCAGGCGAGGAACCGTGGGTTAGGAAAATTAACAGCCTGCCTTGTGACCTCTCCGTCACCTGTCCTTGAAGGTTTCCAATTTAGAAAACTGAGGTGACCGGGGTTTCACGGCGTCGTTTAGCTGGCCTTGCCTGGTCAAGGACTGTGCTCGTCCCCGTGTTCATGTTCGGCGACGCCCAAGCTTCGGACAGTATCCCATCGAAGAGGTTGTTGCTTTCTGCAGCGCTCTGCGCTGGATCGAGGAGAGTACGAGGACCCTCCGCGACTGAGGTACAGAGTACAGACCGTCTGCAACGGGCGGACCAATTGGTTGGAATCTTCATGGATTTCGAGTACTCCGTATCGACCATGCTGAGAACCAGCCACTCTCTTGTTCTTGTCTGACGGGGACACACCAATGTCTAACTTGCAGCCATTCAAGCCACAGCAACGCGAAACAGCCGTCAACCCTCCCATCCACATACACCAAGCAGGGAGCCAGAGAAGTGGCAGGAGAGATCTTCCACATTGGACATTTCCTGCATCCGGAGGACAACTTTACGAAAACGGTTAACAAATAAACGTCCTCTGGAGGCCTGTCTGTTACTTCGCCGTGCTGTCGGCAATTCATAACGTCATGCTTTCATCCTTGGAACTGTCCTTCGTCCTTCGAGTGCATCTTCCTTGATTCTCGTTCCTATCCTTGGCATTAACTACCCTCCACGTGGGCATTGGCGATCGTGTTCTCTAAGACGAAGAAGAAGCAAACAAAAACAATCCGGGCAAGAAAACGGGGCTCTTCCCGGTCCAATCGGAGATGCCATGCTGTGACGTCGGCCATAATTACTAGGGCTAGATATCTAGTCTAATAATTCCTTCGCAATTCGGATCAATAGATGGAAGGGAGGAGATGTCCAGATCCACTCCAGTCATCCCTTACATCCAGAAAATCTCCCCCGGTCGCAGCTTTGCATTGCCCCGTTCCAGGTGCAGGTAATGAATGCCCTTACCCTGCAATTCCCAATCGAAGGTTTCGAATCCCCATCGTGGATCCAGTACGAAGTAGAAACTGCGTAGATGCCTATTTTCCGGAGACCCTTACCCGTCAGCTGCACGACCGTAAGACCTAAGGAACACGAAGAAGTCTTCCGGAACTAAACTAGCTAGGACTTCCGCCTCAATCAACCGCGTTTCCCGGTTCAAACGGGCTCAGCTTTCGCTAAGCTTTCGTCGACATGCAACTCCCCCTGCAGTGTGCGGATGGGACACGAGAAAAAAAAAGTGAGGCGAAACAAACTTGAAGAAAAAAAAAAACCAGAGCCTTCGATATTAGTGTCACCTTTTTGGATCATACAAAGCTGCGCCACTTGAGCTACGAGAAACAAGGTGGCATCGTGACCTTCTAGAACCAGTCCCCGTAACGCAAGGGAGTACCTTCCTGTGGAGAGCCTTCTCTCTTGGCTTATTTCGCCACCGCAAATGAGTTTACTCTTTCGTCCCGTCATTTGGCTTATATCGGATGAAGATCTAAAGATAAATGAGGCTTTAGAGCCTCGATTATAATCTACCTGATGTCACAGTCCAGGTTGTCGATCCTAAGCTCATCTTGGAAGAGAGGAGAAACTCAGCCCCCCGTGTCTGAGACATGCCTGGCCCAGCCACACTCTCGCAGAGAGATCCCTTCAAGACGAGCAATGCAGAAGTGACAATTGGACTACATTGGTTCCGCCGTCCTCGACGGACGCTAGGCGGTAGGCATCATCGTAACGTCCATCTCCGCACCTACAGTGCTTCACCTGTCCTGCACTCACTCTTCCTCCGTCTCCAACCCCTTAGCCCCACCGAAATATCAATATCACGCCTCCATCACCAAATCGCGGAATGGCGCAGGGGGGTCTTTGACAGCTCGGAGACCGAGCGCCCGTGTACTGAGTAGTTGGAGCTGGATGCGACATGTGGCACAGCTACTTCCATCGGCTTCATATGCAGCAGGATTCCCGCACGTTGTCGTAGCATCGGGTTGGAGTTACCCCTTTTTACCGTAGCGCAATATGTCACTAACTGAGGCTACACATTGAGAGGACATGGACGACGCTTCTTCTAACGCGCTGATGGTCTCTGAAATCGACCGCCTCCGTGCCCAGATCAATGAGGAAGCAGCTTGCGAACACGTTCCAGCCTCAACAATGGCAAACCTTGCACTATCGAATATCCTTCAAAGGCTGCCGGGCTGAGCTCTCTTATTGCGCGTGCCAATTACCAGGCTCACATCCGTCTTCACGGCGGATCATTCCCGTCGTGGCTAATGGGGCCCCCGCGGGTCTCTGACTTTGCCTGTTTCTCTCACAGAATATCTGATTTGCATCGAGTACGTAAAGCTAAAGTTACTAGAGACTACAATGGTACCGGCACCGCCAGCCTTTCTGTTCGGCATTCCGTTCGAAGGGACGGACCATGGCATTGGGCCCCATTTTCTCTTCATGGAGGAGTTGGCGGGCAGCCTGTGGGTCTGGAAGGGCCTCTATTTAGAGTCGGAGAGATACCCATTTGCCAAACGAGATCTCTCTACGCCGAGTCTCTCCATGACCTTCTCTAGAGCCAAAGGCGTTGCCTTGAGAAATGCCTGGTGCGAGAAAGAGCCATTGACAAAAGCTATCCTTCAGGTCTTTGGGGTTGACCAGGGCTGGGATGAATGGAAAGAGTCGGCGTTAAAGGGAAACGAGGGCGATGAACATTTCGGGGCTCTTGTGGAAAGGTCTTCTCGGGAAAAGGAGCGGTGAATCGTCCAATATGAGTCTTGCAGGGTAATCTTGGTTTGACACGACACCCGGTCGCCAGTTTATTTTCAGGCTACGAGATAGTTACTTTCCTCGCATGGGTAGAGACACAGCGGATACTTGCATGATATCGTCACTTCAAGGCCATAAGCTTCCGGACTTTGACGAGGCACACCGGAAGGCATAGTCTCCGTTCCGGGTTCTCGTGGCCACCCTCTCCGGAGGTAGTGGTGGCCTTACAGAAATCGTAAGCCCCGTTCGTAGCCGGTTCGTTTCACTTCTAGACTGATCATGAAGATGAGGCTGCCAAGTCTAGTTCACACTCGTCATAGAGATATTCATGATCAGCCAACAGTGCCATACTACTCCTGAACTACATTCTACGTCTCTGGGAGGCCGTATCAATGCTAAATTCAGCCCAGTTATTGACCGAGTGTCAGCTTCTCAATAGTTGTGCCGACAGCCCTTCACAGCCTGCACAAACGAGGGAGACGTGAAGAGTAAAACCGGTATACTGCAGCATATTTGTGACACAAGCACAAAAAAAAGGAGAAAAAAAATCATCAACTTTCCAAGGCAAAAGTATTACATCCATCTTATGTTTTCTTTTTACCCTACCGGTTATCGCAAAGATGCACATTGTAAGACCATCATCCCGAGCCAGTCATCTTTCAGACATCTCCCCACCTCCAGGCTGTGCCACAAACACCACACAGACACTTAGCTTTTCCAACTCTCTGGTATCGTAATACAACTAATCCGCCTCAGGCCCGAGGCCTTGTTTACAACGTAATCCTCTCCAACGAATAAGACGCCACCTTTTGGCTGATGAGGTGCCCAATCTCTCGCTGCGACCTCTTAACCACCTCCCCACCAGACACCACCTTCTCCTTCGCCACAGCCTGCTTAGCCTTGAGCCCAATGGGCAGCATACAACCCTCCGCCCGCTGAAGTTTAGAAAGCGCCGCGGGGCCATGTTCCCGCACCGCCGTCCCGTACCGGACCACCTCACTCAAAAGACCATTCAGCTGAACCGCCTCCTCTAACCCTTCCAGCGCGGCGCTCACCTCGAGCTTCAGCGCCCGGAGAAAGTCGCCGGTCTCGGACTCAACGTCCGACGAGAGCGAGTCGTTGAGGAGCCATCCTGTGGGCCCCACGGCGTCGACGCAGCGCGATAAGAGGTTCGCAATCAGACAGATACTATCGTCCGGCGGCGCCTCCGGCTGCGTCTGGCCCGCCACCGCGTATCCGACGTCGACGTATCTCGACGTCCAGGATCCCCGTACGAGTTCGGCGCGGAGGAGGAAGATGAGCGAGAAGATTTCGTCGGCCTTGAGGCATGTGCGTAATGCCTTAACTACCGTCTGAGAAGAGTGCGTGCTGAGCTTGGCGAGTGCCGCCGTGAGGCCGTTTGCGCGCGTGCTGTTCTGGTCGCCGAGGTGGTACTCCGTTGCTTGGATCTGTCGGTCTAGCTGGTCGAGTTCCATCCGTATCTCCTCGTCCTCTTCGCTCTCGTGCGCTTCCTGTGTTAAAAACTTTGGCGGTGACTTGAGAGAGTCCGTCACGTAGTCGAGACTCCTCATGATGGCGCGAATTCCCATGAGCAGCTCCGGAGGCCCGAGTTTGGTAACTAGAATGTAGTTAACGAGCAGTTCCAGAGTCGGGTCAACCTCTGCTAAGCGTAGGGCGAGACCTTCCGCGAGGACGGTATCCGACAGCTCCGGTCCTAGGTCTAATCCTCTGAAGGCGGCCCGGATGTTACTAAGCGTAAGATGTCCCGCAACGATGAGGTAGATGAGGACGTTGATGCTTGCCAGCGCCAATTTAACTGCGCCATCAGCATCTTCACAGTTCGGATCCAGCGTAAGTACTCGGCCAATAGCGTAGAGTACCCAGCGGCGATCGACGATCGGGTAATCGGAGGGATTCGAGTGCCATGTCCAGTCAGGAAGGGATTTGTTCTCTGTTCCACTTTCCTCATCCTCGTTCGTCGTCGCTAGCTCAACCATGAACTTGCTCGCGAGGAGCTTTTCGAATTCTGCTAGGTTGTCGTCCACCAAAAGCGCATCCGCCTTATCCATCTCCTGTATGCACGTCGACATATAGCTGCCTGCTATGGAACCGGGGAGCAGTGTTGATAGCGCGGACGAGCGCAACTTCTTGCCAGGCCTAGTCGCAGACACGGGGACATCCTTCGGTGCACCCTTTCCGATGGAATCGATAAGGAGGCCGTCGGCATAGGAACGTTTACCTCCGGACGCAGGGGGGTCGACCTGCACAGCAACCAAAAGATTGTCGTAGAGACCTACAGCAACGTCGAGGCGGCGGAAGTAAGCGGTAAGGGTGTATGCAGACTTGGATTGCTCGCTTCCGCGCTTCGAGGTGATTTCTGACAGGTCTAGGGGGACGGTAGCTTGGAGAGAGTGGAAGGTCGGGTTATATAAGTTGAGGTGGGTGGGCGAACCGGCTAGGATCGAGTGTCCGGAAAGTCGAAGATACGACGTCGCGGCTTGCATGAGGAGGGTGTGCCGTATGGTAGAGATAGCACTAGTGATGTTATAGACTACCAGAGTGCTATCCTGCAGCTCAAGCAGCGAGCCGGACGGGAGGTGAAGCTTGTAATCGTAGACTGTCTCCGCGTTCGATGTTGGCTGACTGGGGATCGGCGTAACGTGAAGTTGTAGCATATGTTGCATCGAGGCCGTGGAATTCTCAGATGGCAGGATTCCTAGAACAGACAATTGCCTCTCCTGAACGCCGTTTCTCACTAGATGTGAGACGAACACAAGAGTGTCGGGCTTAGCTTCGCTGACTGCCAGGCTTTGTGGGAAGGCAGCCGCGAAGGCATCCTTCCGGCCCTCAAAAATGCCGTCAATGACATCGGCTGCAGTTGTCATAGCAACAAGCTCAACGCTATACTCCGAAACTGGGGTTGACATCTCATCTCGCGAGAGTTTGCTAGCAGATTCCTTCCACCTCTGTTCGAGAGTCTCGGGGTCCAAGGAGATAACGTCGCCATTAGCGCAAATGATTAAAAGATTTCCCACAAGGCGATGCACGTTTTCGGGTCCAGTAGAGCTAGTAATAGAAGGGGAAACTCCGATGTAGCGAATGCGGGAGGATGTTTTTAGGTGGCGCGTCTTGGAGCTAGATGTGGTTTTACCGGCGCTATCGACGATGTCCCTAAACAGCATCATTGACTGGCCCGTCGAATCTCGGGTCGCAATATATGTGTAGCGCGCGATACCTTGACCTTTAAGAAGACGTATCCTCAGAGATATCGGTGAGCAGGTAAAGGTTTGCTGGGGAGGGATCGGATACGACGTGATCAATCTCGAGGCCGAGACCTGAAGAGCTTGTTAGCAAGGAGTGTGCCTGCCTGCCTGGAAATCGGTTGAGCATTCCCATACATCATATAGATTTGCAGCCTCGCCATTGATTCCAACGACAACCTCCGGCCGTTTCCTCTTTCCATGGCTCGGGTGGTGTCCAAAGACCTCGCCAATCACATAGGATCCCTTCGTTTGGTCCAAAGGCCGGGGGAGCTCGGCCAGTACGTAGGGCTTCTGTATCTTGTAATTGGCCGACATAATGGCTGGGCTAAGTTTGACTCTGGCTCAACCCAGAAGAACAGGCCAGATTCGAGATCAAAAACAACCGGTAACGTTAGACGATGTCGGGCGCAGCAGATGAAGCCGCTTGACTTAGGAACGGCGCAGCGAAAATGGCGACCCAGAAGGAGGAAAAAAAAAATTCTGAGGAACTGGGCTGGCAGCTGGCAGAAAATGTTGGAGGGGCGCTCACCGCCTTTGGAGTACAATGTACAAAGTACGATTGAAATTCCCCAACCACACCCGTGCACAGACCGGAATTTTAGTGGGGTCGAGGTCTTCAGGCTTCGCTCTCGCTCCTTCCCTTGAAACTCAAGTCGCGTTAGTAATAATTGAACTTTGGAGACGCGACTCGACCCGCGATTTAGATCACGAACAACCTCACTTGCAACACTTGAAGTCCTTTCCCGCCCAGGTTATATGCCCCTTTCTCAGGAGAACGCTACTCAACCTTACTTGTTTTTTTCCTTCTTATACTAGTCCTTTTTCTCCCCTTTTTGTCATCTATTTTCTCTAAAACAATGCCCCTGTTCCCTCGTTCCTAGAAGCCCGGTCCTCTGATCCTGTGCAGGTGTGTCTGAGTAGGGTATGGCTTTATTGCTTCAACTACAATGATATGCCATCTTGACAGCCTGTCTAATACTGATGATGCATGTGACTTCTTTTAGGAGATACCCCGAACCTCTACAAATGACTGCCCTCACCTGCCCTGCTATGATTTCCCCAATGGCTGAGGAACAGCCACTAAGAAAACTACATCCCTTCTTCACTGGAGAAAGACCTCCGACACAGGCATTTACATCTCAGAATGGAGCTCCCCTGGAGATAACTGAGAATGCACCTACTCCAACGACCCCTGATGTCACCAGTGACAGCACAGCAAAAGGGACCCGACCTCGGAAGCGGAGGAAAACGGACGCCGGCGACAAGAGTTTGGAGGAAAAGGGCCGTCGGACTCGGAGAAAAGTTACGGGTTCTTTGGATAGCGCGGCAATTGCGAGCATAGGATCGAATAGCCCTGAACCTGGTGCAGTCGTGTCGAATCTCGTGTGCAACGCATCCCCTGATCCAAATGCCATTCCGCCTACGGAGCCAGACTCGACAATACCCCCGAAGGTGCCCCACGAAACTCTCTCCAACCCGCCACTGAATGGCACTCCCTCGACGGAAACCAAATCGTCCAAAAAGATCATCAAGTTCAATCCGAAAACAGGAACGTTGGGCTCTCCTCCCAAGCCGAAACCGAAGTGCGAGTCCGTCGTGGCCAGTGCATCTGATTCTTCCTCGACGGGCCGAAAGGGCAAGCGAAAGAGTCTCGTGATACGCATTAAGTACGGTCACGATGACGAGAGTCGGGAGAGACTCGGAGGGCAAATTGAACAAATCCTTGTGCAACCCGCCAACGCAGCTCAACCAGCGAACGTTTCCAAGCAAACCCCGAAATCCCACACTACCGGAACTCCAAAACCTACCCATCCCTTCTTCTCCGGAAAGCCGAAAAAGGCAGGACTCGCGGCAGGTTCCCCAAACGCTGCCGACACTCCTGCTAAGCCCCCCAGGCAGGTCATCTTTTCCTCAACCCCGTGCTCCCCGAAACGACCCCGTGCGGCACCACCTAAGCAGGGACTCACTTTTGGCATCAAGTCGGCGGGGCTGAAGGTACCCGGTGCCGCCCTACCACTGTGGCCCCCTCAAGGCATGGCGCACATTCGCGCTCTAGACTTTGATTGTTCCACACGGGTACCACCGCCCCAGCAACACTCTTTCCCACAGCGCAAGTCAAAGGGTTACGCCGTGAGCCTCTCGGATAGTGAGTCCATTCTACAGTCAACCGCGCGAACTATCAACTTCTCTTCCATCCTTGCATCACTCCGACAGGCCAACTCCTACGACATCCCCCCTCCGCCTCCCGAGCTCAGACTTCCCCAGAAGCACTTTGAGACAGGGCCAAAGATTCAACGTCGAATCAAACCTCATCTAAAGACGCATCATGGTCCTTCTCGCCCTCGCCCGTCCATCGTCGACTCCAGCGATGATGAATTGGGCCACCAAGTCCACCCCGCCATTAACAAACTCTTCACCTCGTTGAAATCTTCTCTCTCGGCATATGATAGGTCTGACTGTGAATCGTCATGCTGGGCTCAGAAATATGCCCCTCAAACCACCGCTGAGGTCTTGCAGGCTGGGAAGGAATGCACACTGCTGAGGGAGTGGCTTCTGAACCTCAAGGTCCAATCTGTGGACACCGGCGCCACCCCCGACGCCGGCCCGCGGGGCAAAGCCTTAAAAGCCGGTGGGGTTCCCGGGAAGAAGAAGAAAAAGCGGGCCAAGCTGGATGGCTTCATCGTGTCCAGTGACGACGAGGCTGATGAGTTGGATGAGATTTCCGATAGCGAGAACAATTGGATGTCGCCGAAGGGCAAGGGATCCGCAAAGACGGTTATTCGGTGCGGTGATCTGGCCGCAAAAGCTAAGGATTCTCGGCTCACTAATGCTGTCGTCATCAGCGGTCCCCACGGCTGCGGAAAGACGGCCGCTGTCTATGCTATTGCCAGGGAGCTTGACTATGAGGTCTTTGAGATCAATGCAAGCAGTCGTCGAAGCGGCAAGGATGTCATTGAGAAAGTCGGGGATATGACGCGTAACCACTTGGTCCAGCAGCAACGCAATGGGTTGAAGGGGACGGAGGGTGGAAACGACACCGATGCTGACGAGACTGCTCTTGACGTCAAGTCGGGGAAGCAAAGGACCATGGCAGCTTTCTTTAAACCCAAGACGACTCCGGTAGCGAAACCCGAGCCTCAAGCCAAGGATTTAGGGGACAAGCCAGAGGCTCCGGCCAAGGCCACCCAGTCGTCAAAATCACAGAAACAGTCGCTCATTCTCCTGGAAGAGGTTGATATTTTGTACGAGGAGGACAAGCAGTTCTGGACCACCATCGTGACCCTCATTGCGCAGTCTAAGAGGCCTTTTATAATGACTTGCAATGACGAGAGCCTTGTGCCACTGCAGAGCCTAAGCCTACATGGAATTTTCAGGTTCAACGCCCCGCCAACAGATCTCGCTGTCGATGCAATGCTTCTCGTTGCCGCGAACGAGGGCCACGTCTTGGAGCGGCGGGCTGTTGAAGACCTTTACCTAATGCGTTCCAAGGATTTCCGTGCTTCACTCGCAGACCTGAATTATTGGTGCCAGATCGGGGTTGGTGACAGACGGGGCGGCATGGACTGGTTCTATTCTCGGTGGCCCAAGGGCTCGGATCTCGACGAGAACGGCGATGTAGTCCGGGTTATCAGTGAGGGGACATACCGCGCTGGCATGAGTTGCTTTGGGAGGGATGTCATTGCTAGCTGTCTCACCCAGGAAGAGGTGGAAGAGGAGCTCGTCAATCAGACGTGGGAATCGTGGGGTGTCAGCTGCGATGCTTTTCTTCAGGCCAAGAACCCCAAGGCGTTCGTGGCATGCAATCCGGACGATGCATCTTCAAGGGTAGGAAAGCGGACAATTGAGGGGTTGGCTGCATTCGAGGATCTTGCCGAGTCCATGAGCGCAGCGGATCTGCTCGCAAACGGTGGATTCGGCCAAGGCTTCAAGGTAAGATGATTCAACCATTTTCCAGCCAGTAGTATGTGTCATTTAATCTCTAACTTTGAACAGGAACGCATCGACCCAACATTGCCGGACATTACTAGCCGGGCTAGGGACGACTACATCCTCGGTCGTACTCTCCTCGACGCTCCTCTACTAGTGTACCACCGCCTTCTCTCGAATTATATCTCGACAGCAGGCAAATGCCTCGCCCGAGAAACATTCAGGAAGCTAAATGAGAACGAGACCATCGCGCACACGCTCCCTCCTCTCAACGAAGCATCCGCCGTATCCAACATTCGAGCCGCAGTAGGCGAGCATCAAGACTGCCAGGCCATCAATAGGATGGACATGAGCCTCGCATTCGACCCCATCGCCGCCTCGGACAAATTCCCCACCAGTGCCGTCGGCTACCTCGACCCTTCCGTGTTCGATCGCACCATGAACATGATCGTCCTGGACGTCGCCCCCTTCGTCCGGACCATCGTCGCGTTCGACGAGCGACTCAAGAAGGAGCGGTTGCGGCTGGGTACCCTCCTTAGCGAGAATGGCGGCGGTCCGCAACGGCCGGCGAAGCGGATGCGTCAGACGAGGAGTGCCATGTCGGCGCTGGAGGGGGGTTCGAGGAGCACGACTAGGAGGGAGAAGTATTTCGCTGCGGATATTAACCCTTATCTGGTATCCAGGACAGGGGGGAAGGCGTGGCAGACTGCACTTGATGAGGTTTTAGAGAGGGAGGCGCAGGATGCGAGGTCGAAGGCTGCGGAGGAGGGGGATACGGACGCGACGTTGTCTGCAGGAGAAGACTCAGTTGGCTCGGGGGCGTGAGCAAGTCGGGGAGAAAAGGAACGTCCCAAGTTTTGGTATACAGAGTGAGGACCTTTCAAGTCGCGGCTTTCGCGTAGATTGAGAATAGTTTGGGACCACATTAGGGGACTCGCATATAGACGGTTACGTATCACTTGATCCCAATGATATTCTCGGATCACCAAACTGAGTCTTGCTGCTTTTGGTCTTTTCTTGTTTTTTTTTTTTTTTTTTTTGGGGGGGGGGGGGTTTTTTTTTTTTTTTTTTTTTTTTTTGGGGGGGGGGGGGATCTTTTTTCTTGTGATACCACATGGATTGAACATTCCATCAAGTCATTCCAACCAAGGACGCCGGTTCTGATCATTGTCTAAGTTCACTCTAGATCTGCTACCTAGTCCCGAATCCTGCAAGAACAAAGGAAATCGTAAAATAGTACATCATCCATGCTGTGTCTTCGACACCATCCTGTTTCTTCTTTCTTCTTTTCCATTTTCTTTTTTTTTTTTTCTTTCCCTTCCTTTTCTTCTCATTCACTTCGCCTAAAGAGCCCATCTAACCCTCTTCTTCCGGGCCCTCCCACCATCCCACCGCCTCTCCGGCACACCCTCAACATAAACAACAGGCCTCACCGAGCTCCTCCGCCTCTCATACCTCCAATCCCACTCGAGATCCCCACCCCTCCCCAGAGGCCCCGAACCGTAGGCATACTCGCCACCAGACATCCTAGGGACATCATCACCGTGCTGCACGACCCTCGACCGCGAAACACTCCTCCTTCTCCTCTCTCTACCCCTAACGACCGATCTCGACCTCGCGCGGTATGTGTACTCCCTCTCATACTGCCCACCGAGGTTCTTATGAGAGGACTTCTTCCTGTCTTTGGATCTTGCGCGGTGTAGGAGGATCGTGGCGAGGCCGAGAGAGGCTAGGAACGTCCCCGCCGTCTCACCAATACCGTGCTCCTTCCCCCGCTCGGTAACAGTAGGGGTCCGCGGTCGTGATTCGCCCCGATGGGGTTCGTCTCGGGGCTTGTGAGTCCTCCGATCCCTTGTTCGGCCTCGCTGATCTTCGTCTTCGCGGTGATGACCGTCATGCGAAGTTTCATCGCGGTACTCGTCCCGATGACGCGAGCGATCATCCCTCGGAACCCACCTTTCCGGAGACGAGGATAGGGACCGGCGGCGGTTGCGGGCCCCGGATGAAGGAGGGGAAGGCCCCCGCGGACGATGGCGACGATCTCTTGACGGAGTCCTCATGGAGGTAGGCATTGTATCCCTTGCTTCTTTTCCCTCTTTCTAATATCGGAGTTTAAAAGAAAATGTTTTCGAGTTCTGGCGTTTGCTAAGTAGCGTTAAAAGTAGTAGCTAGATAGGGTCTTATCCAAATACACACTCGGGGTCCTCTCCCACCATCAGAAGAAGACAAGGTCGGCCATATATATATAAACATCAAGCCCCTCACCCACAAAGGAAAACAAAAGCCCATTGAGCCTCAAAGCCCTCGCCCTCGCCCCCCTTTCCCACACACACCTTTCTGTGCTTCCTTTTCGCACCGGGCGTCCCTTTTATCTGCCCTTAGAACTGGTCCGCGCCGTCCCGGTGATAAAGAATATATAAAAAGAAAATGGGGGGATGACCCTTGTCTGCACAAACATCGACACCGGCTCAACCGGTCTTTCACTGCGCTTGATGAGGCTCCCCTTCACCAAAGTCATTGGGCACTACACCAACACACAAAGATCCGATAATAGAAAGGCACCGCCCGATGACGTTCTTCGAGGGGGAAAAAAAGGTTTCAGTCACTTTCTCGGTCGCCGAACCAAATACACCGCGCACAGGAGTGCAAAAGCGCAAAAAGGGACTCATCGGCTACACAAGAGGCGCTTCCCATACACAAGGCAAGCCTTAGAGCCTCGCCCGTCTTCTGCTCGCCTCGCGCTTTTGATTTGGGGTACTTTTGTCACTTTCGACGCGCGGTGGCGTTTTCGCCACAGCCGTGCCCATTAGGATGTTTTCCCTTCGAGTCGCCCCGGTGTCTAGTTTGAGTCATGAGACCGGGGGGTGAGTGCCTTGAAGTTGTACACGGCGAAGTTGCCCGCGCAATCTGTGGAAGATGGTAGACGCAGGGCGGAAAACATATGTCGCTCACCTCCCGGGATCTTCCCTTCCTATTGGTAATGATGGGATTTCGGTGGAGGTGTCGAGCATGCTGTTTTTTGATTGCTCCAAATCTGGTCACGTGCGGGGCGGTGCGCCTCACCCTGTCCCAATTCCGGGACGAGGCCGAGTTCCTCCTCCACCGACTACCAGGTATTCAGTCTTCCAAACATGGTCTACGATTCCACATTGATATATCATTTCATCACCATGCCTCTTGGCCTCAATGCAATCCTTCATTTCGAAAATACGATGTCTAAACTAATTGCGGAAATGCTATAATCAAACTATAATATTAGACCGAATAATTATATAATTATATTATAAAGTTTTTTAGCTATTTTAATCTTAATTTTTAGTTTATTATAAGCTAATTTTTAAACTTATAAACTATTTTAGATTTTAAATATAAAACTTTATATAAATAACTAATTAATATAAAAATTAATTTTTAAATATAATTAAAATCCTATAAATATAGATTATTAAATTAAAATAAACTTTTTAGCTAAACTAAGTTTTCTATTTTAGTATTTTGTAGGAAAATTCAGTAAATCCGCGGTGACTACAGAAATATTTAAAATCACATATTTTAAAATTAACTTCTATTAGATTATCAAACCTATCTTACATTTTAATAGCTATTAATAATAAAAAATTAGAAATAATTTATCTTTTAAGACTCTCTAGTAATTAATTTAAGTATAATTATACCTTTATATTTAAATATATATTTCTTACTTATATTTTATAAATACTATTTAACTATTTTACTCTATTACTAATAGATAACTATCTTAATTTTATTATTAGTTATATTTATCTAATATTGTTAATAGGCTAGTATTAGGATTATAATAGTTCTGACTGCTCGGCCTTCTATTTTAGTTGTATTGTAGCTGTGATACCTTTGCCTTTACTAGTCTTTAGAGTATTATAGAATTTTATTTTTTAATTATATATTTTAAAATTAATTTTTATTAGATTATTAAACCTATCTTATACTTTAATAGCTATTAATAATAAAAAATTAGAAAAAATAATTAGAGGATTAATATTTAATTTAATTAAATATAAAAATATAGAAAATATAAGATTAGAAATAAAAAATAGATTAACTAGATATTATAGAGTAGATAGAGCTATTTACAAATTAAAATAAAAAGGTAATTTAAAAAATATAAAATCTTCTTTTAATAGATTATCTTCTATTCTTTATAGAGGATATTATAAACTAAATATATCTTATTTAATAACTAACTCAAAACATCATATAAGAGCTTTTATAGTAAAAGGTTAAATAAATAGTAAATAAAATAAAAAAGAATTATAGTAATAATAAAAATAAAGACATAGTCTAAACTATTTTAAAAAAAATAGAAATTAAAATAATAACAAATAGAATAAGCTAATTTATACAAGAGTATACAAAATAAGTACGCAGTTTAGTACCTCAATATCAGCTTAACTTATCTTTATAGATATAGGAACTATATAGGGTACAACTATTTGTCAATTAAAAAGTTATATAAGCTAGGTTAAATATATT